CGCTCAGACAGGAAGTTACAAACAATAGAAAGTCAGGGTCTCACACACTCATTCACATCTGTGTGAGCTGCCAAGCCAACTGAAAGGCACATGGACAGCAGCAGCTCACTGATTTCCAGATCTACAGACACTGAAGCAACTCATCCAGAGCAGGACTATAACTGTGGGCTACAGAGTCATGGTGACGTGAACCATCTTTGCAGTATTTTGAGCTGAGAAGTTAAAAGACACATTCTGGGGACATGTGAGACTTTCATTAATTTGCACACAGACGGGCCACAAAGTGGGACCTTGAAAGAAAACACTATGCAGAAACCCATGTACTGTCAATACCAGCTTTCCGAGTTGAGTCCTCTTCTCTTCTGCCACCCGTCCTGCCAGTGAGATCGCAGCAACTCTACGGGGCTGAGTGATGGCAATCACACCCTGTCGCCCGATGCCGGCCTCGTACAGATACTGAGGGATCTGAGTGGTCTTCCCAGAGCCGGTCTCCCCTGATGAATGACAGAGAAGTAATAAACAGAGTGTTATCAGAAGACAAGGAATGACAGTTTGTGAACAAGCTCTTCACCTATGAGTGACACAGCTCACTTATTTGTTCTGGAAAACGTGTGAGCCTACTGTAGCTGTCATTCAAAACAGACTCATGAAGTAAAAGTGTGAATTTCAAAGTGGAGTTTCCCTTTAAAATGAGCAGCTAATGGTGTAGCAGTGGGAGCTAAGTGTAGCCTGTACCGATCAGAATAGCGTTGTGAAGCTGTCTCAGTTGGTTCAGCAGCTGGGGTTTGGCCTGGTAGATGGGCAGCTGTTTCCTCTGGACTTCTATCGGAGTGGTTGCATTCCCCTTTCTAGGCAGCAGCATTCCAGGTTTATTCTTATCGAGGCGGAAAAACACTGAGCCCGGCTTGAATTTTTTAGCCGGAGGAGGGTCGGGGTCGTGGGGCATGGTCTGGAAGAAGGGACTGAGATGGTCAAAGCTCTGCGGCTTTGTTCTTGCGGTTCTTTACTGTCAAAAAGAAAGAAAAGAAAGTTTTTTCATGCTCACCGACGGACAGGCGAGCGTCACTGCGGATGTTTTGCTACCTCTGCAAAAACGTCCCCACGTGGTCAGGTCCGGCGCAGGCGTTTGACGTCATCATCAGCTTGACTACTTCCCAGAGTTCAGACTGTCAGGTGCAGCCAGAGGAGCTACACTGGTACAGGCTGCTCCTTTTCCACTTTATAAGTTACAATTCATCATTTTTTCTCCCCTCAGTTGCTAAACTATATTGTGCATTATGTTTTATATTGCAAAATGTTGCTTGTTCCATCAAATCCATGTTATTGTGTTTTGTATTTGTTATAAATTTAAAGATGTAAAATAAAAGCTGTTAACATATGAACATGTTGACTTTTACCGTTATTCAAGCTCCCTCACATCTAAATTCCCAGTTTAACATGTTAGTCCGCACTGACTGTCAATCACAGATGCAGGCAGTTTAATCTCTATTCTGATTTAAGCTGGTTTACAACATTATTTTAGTTTTTTTTTCCTCTTCTTCCCTACATTTCTTTATTATGTTTCCTCCCAATACTTCCTGTAGTGTTGTTCATATTAAGGCATTATTGTGTTCTATGTACTATGAAAGCACTGTCACATTCATTCTAAACATAGAGCACAGATGTACAGTAGAACCATTATTTTAAAAAAAAAACAAAATAAAAAATAAAAGCTTAGTCGTTTGTGAAAAATCTTTCAGTGTCAGCCTTTGATTGCAGCATGATAACTTGCTTAGTTTATAAATTTACACAGTGTGTTAAGGTCCCTCTCTGTAGCTGATTTAGCTCTGAAAAACCCATCTATCTGTATTTCAATTACACATTTAGAAGTTGTTTTTCCATGAAAATTGTCCCTTTTTGCCTTAAAATGATAAAAATGTAACTCTACACCTGATGTTTCCTCTAGAATGTGCAGATATCTAACATCCCTGCCTCTCCCCTCCCCACTCCCTGCAGCTCAAGAACATCAGCTCACCCATGGCTCTGTTTAAATACTGCAAAATGACTCGATGACAAGTTGGAATGATTCAGTCATACATGTTCAAACCAGAAACCAACTCTGACGAAGAATACAGATACTGAAAGCTCCACCTCACATGATGACAGGATCGGTTCCTTTGGTTTGTTACATACAAAACTGAGAAAGTCTGAATCTGTGTTTTCGAGACTGTCATTGGTCCACTGCGGTGTCAACGTAAAAATGCTCAGCCATGGCGTTGACTGCTGATTTCACTCATGATCTGTCTACCAGCATATAAAAAACACCTTATGCACATGTTAACCAGGTAACACATTTGTTTTCACCAGAACTTTCTATGGAAAATTGAAATTCAAACAAGTCGAACAACCAACTAAAGCAAAAACACAAAACACATCATGGGATGTGTTTATGTTTTATGCAGACATTTGTTTAGTTTTCATCTTTAAAGCTTTGTCAAAGAATGTATTTCAGTCCAACCAGGAGCATCCTAGACCAGAAAAGCACACAAAAGCACCATCGTTATATTTAATTTGAAGTTACAGTGGAGCTTTTTCTACTTGGAGAAGATTGGTCAGGGAGAAAATGAAACGGCCAACTGTCCGCTCGCAGCTCGGTGTTGGAACCTTGAGTGATGTGACGCTCATCATCAGCCAGAAGCTTGGATGTGTGGACATTTTTCACAGCGGACATTTTGTCACAGCATGTTACCGCTGCTGTCGGATCCTGTTATGTTCATTTCGTGTTCTCTCGCCATACGAAACAGTGGATGGATGCCAGGTGTGAGATGCAAATTGGAGCGTCCCGGTGCCAGCCTGTGACTGGTGAACCAGCTGATGGCCTGCAGGTGATTGGCTCTGGAGCGCTGACGGGAGAACCTGGGAGCCAAGATGGCGCTGCCCATCTGTCTCACCTCCACTTGTATCCAGCCTCTGTTTCTGTAGCTTTGTATTCATAGAGGTGGAGAGCCGCTTTAGTCAATCAAGCCATTGATTGTAGTTTGGTTGGTTAGTTCTGGTTATCATAATGTTTCACTGGATAGATCATTTAGGTTGTTGTTTTGACCGTGTCCACCCTGAAGATAACACTTGACTCCATATTCCTTTAAACATTGCAAATAAATATCACCACAACTTGCTTTCTGTGGATCCGAGAAGAATGAATGTAGTTTATGCTATGCTGGTGCAACATGGAAAAGCTGTAATTGATCATATCAAAAACACCAGCAAAACACCAGGGTGGTGCTGCTGTGCAATGCTGCTCTCGATCACAGGGCTACACTTAGAGGCAGACAACCAAGCACACTCACATTCACACCTACGGACAATTTAGAATCACCAATTAACCTCAACATGTTTTTAGACTGCGTGGGAGGAAGCCGGAGAACCCGGAGAGAACCCACGCTGCATGGGGAGAACATGGAGACTCCACGCAGAAAGATCTTGGGTATCCTCAACCGCCGACCTTCTAGCTGCGAGGCAACGATGCTAACCACAGATCCACCTTGCAGCCCTACATTTCTTCATGCAATTTTTATTTTTTTAAAAATCATGCCTTAAAAAAGTGACAGTGACAAAGCCGTCCATTTCAAAAAGTGCTTCTGATGTAAATGACACCTTTGAATCCGTGACTGTGCTGCAGATGTTTGATGCAGCAGCGAGAAGGAGACGTGGCGACTCGACCTCACCAACACACAGAGTGTAAATCAGCTTTAGGAGGTTGTCTGTTTCAAATGCTCTGTTTACTGTTTGTTTCCAATAAGCCTACAGATAGGCAGTGATAGCGGACCGCTGAAGTAAAAATATTTAAATCGACAGGAAGTCAGTGGCTCACTCATGTTGTGACACTTCAGCATACCATAAACAGTTTAGGCTCTTGAGTTCTATAGCAGATCTGAGCTATTTTGGCAGTGAAATGATGTGAATCGGTTTAACAGACATGTTAGTATAGACACCTCTCCCGCCCCCGGTCAGCGTGTCAACAGGTCGGATGTAAACAACAGCATTTACATCCAGAGACACCGGGAGGGACGACGTCTCCTCCAACAGCTCACTGTGAATGTATGTCAACACACTCTGACGCACCGCCGTGGTGTGACTTTGGAGACGCGCTTTCACTTTGAAAGGCTTTGCATTGCTGAAACTTAAGGAAACGCTTCAAGCACCGACATGCTCTTAGCAAACAATGGTTTGTGAAGCAACACGCGAGAGGTTGCGCAACAAATTCTTTTCAACTTCTCGCTCACATGAGGTTGAAGTGGTGGACCTGTCATTATGTTCCTTTTCAAACAGATGCGGCTCTTCTTGCTGCTGTAGCCTCAGTGAGCTTTGCTGTTTTACAGGTTAGACATCCTCCAGAGGCAGCCGTAGATGACCTGTCGCTTTAACGTCTCCCCACTGAGGCCACCAGCGACTAAATTAAGCGAATCTCTGTCTGACGTGATTACTGCCATCAAATACACTGACAACACCAAGGGTTCATTTGCAAAAACAGATAACTCCATCTATAAAAACCTTCAGGAAACCCACTTTTCCATCATCTACCGGAGACAACATCAATCAAATTTAAGTTGTCTCTGTTTTTGTCATTTCTACTGAGTCAGATTCACTCAGCTTCAGTTTGATTGATATCATCTACAAAAATGGAGTTATCTGTTTTTGTTTTCTTCACATCGACCTCAAACCGAAGCTACACTAAAAAGCTCTGTATGCAAATCTGATGTTTGTTTTTTAGCTGCTCAGTCTTGTCCCATCATGAATAGAAGTGATTGACAGGAAAGGAAATTCTGCTCCGTTTTGGCCCAGACTGAGATTTCTCAACACCTGTTTGATGGATTTTAATTAAAGTTTGTGCAGACGTTCATGATCCCGGGAGGATGAATCCGAAAGACTTCGGTGATCTTTTAACTTTTAATGTAGAGGTCCAAATTTTTAATTTGCCTTGTTTAATTAATGACCAGCGACATTCCCACCTGCCTCAACTGGACTGTTCCTAGAATTTATAACTCTGTATAAACCGCAACAGCAAATTCTGTACGTTGAAGGGAATGAGGACACATTCCCACATAACTGTCATCGATGACTACACCAGCTTCATTAAACTGTTTCGTTATGCTCTGGCACTCAGACCACATGGTGTTATACCTTAACATGTCCATATAGTGCTTTTTTTTATATGCTAGAACATACATCATGAGTTCAAGAAGCGGTCAACGCCACGGCTGAGCGTTTCCACCTTAAATCTGCAGCGTACTGATGACAGGATTGAAAACACAGATTGAGTCTTCCAGGGTCTCATATGTAACAAACCCGAAGAACAAGTCCTGGAAACCTGCAGGGTGGCGTTTTCTGTATCATTTCTCTTCCCCAGAATCTGTGTCTGGTTCAAACGTGCATGGCTGGATTATTCCAGTTTTCCAAACTGACATTGTGTCGCTCTTACAGAGCAGAGTTGCAGGTGAGCTGGTGTGCCAGAGCTGCAAGAGAGAAGCTTCAAAGATCTGAGGGAACAACAGTGTAGAGTTACATCTGAGCTATTTAAAGGCAACACGGTATGACTTTCATGGGAGAAAAAAAGCTTCTAAATATGTGACCTATTGTTTTGTTTTTGGGGCTTTAATCAAAGCCTGAAGGGGGACTTAGAGGTCAGGGGCAGACTATGAACTGGCTTAATGCATAAAGGCAGTCTTCTCTCGCTAAACCCAACCAAAGAGCCTTCTTGCCTGAAGCTATTTACAGAGAGGAGAATAAAACATATTCTGTTCTCTGAAGTCCACCTCCTGCCAACTCTAGTGGAGATCACAAATGCAAACCATTATTGGGAAAACAATTTAGTTGTTTAGTACGTCCTGTTAGACAACTCACGAAATCAGTCCCTGTTTGCATTATTAACTGTCCACTGTTTTATGTTGCTGTCCACATTTTGATGTTCATCCTCAAACAAAGGAACAAAAAAAACCCCATTACATGTGCACTCGTTCCTGCAAACAGCTAGCAGTATTTTAATGTTTGCTGTTGTTGAGGGCATCGAAGTGGATAGTGGACAAGTGTGCAAGAGGACTATTTCGTACACAGACCTACTCCTAAAGGTTTATTTCCCAGTGTCCCTTCAGAAGCAGCTCACTGGCTATTCAGGAGGAAGCATCAGAACGTGGGAGGAAAGTAGTTGTACTTGTAGATTTTATTCACAACTTGGGATTCACACAAGTAACTGAGTTCCGTGTGAACTTTTGTCACCCACAATCAGACAGATGTGTAACTGCACACCTCTGTGCAAATCTCATTTTTTATTTTATTTTACCTGTTTGTTTTGTTTTTATCCTTTTAAATCTTTAATGTTGCACTTTGATATTTTGTTGAAATGAAAAGTGAATTACAAATACAAGTTATTATTATTATTGTTATTATCATTGTTGTTGTTGTTGTTTATGCACTCACACACTGGAAAATATTTGTGCAAATCTTTTTAAATTTGCTCCAAAGATGTCTTGCACACCCACAGATTCTATGATTTAAAATCAGATCTGTTTGTAGAGATATTTCTACACTTTAAGACATTTGTCAAGTCACCATGATATTTATTTATAAGTTTAAAACAACAGCTGTTGGAAAAAGTGTGTCCTCGTAGAAGAAAGGAGGTGTTTAGAATTGACATAAGAAGTTTATATAGATAAAGACGGTACAATATTATATAAAATATATCTGAGTAACAGAAATGTGATGGTTTAGAACCTATAATATTACACATCCAAATTTCCTGACTGCTTTAAAAATGAAGGTTAATATCCTACAAAATTATATATAATAAACCTACCAAATCCAAATATTAACTCTGAGTGTGGATCAAATGAACTGAAATCATGTCATCAACACATTTTACACACTCATACAAAATGATTTCACACCTTCAGCTGCAACACTTTTGACCCTAATTTGTTTCCATATGTGTGCCGCTTGGCGCTCATTACATTGTTCCTACCAGAGCATTTAGGTTATTATTTAGATTGTCTTTTTTTATATACAATCCTTGTAAAATCCTTACAATCCCGCCAAATCCTTGCAATCCCACTAAATTATAGGCACGGCCATTTTGCAGCAAAACATATATGCAGATGTCTCTTGGAATAGGCTTTAACTAGATCTAGATTTGAGATAGATAGATTTTAATCATAATTCCAAAATAAGACGTTCCATTTATTAATCTCTGCAGCACCACGTGAGAGAAGCATTGATCCGATGGGAATGTAATGTTCCTAATATTCCACCTAATTTATACCGAAACAAAGCAGTTCACTTTTAAAACAGAGCGTTTGCCACTTTGCAGATTAAAATGCAAAGCACCTCACAGCGTACGAGAGCAGAGAGAGAGAGAGAGTGGATTGTTGAGCGGGTTGAGACTGAACTGTTGTCTGCGTTTCCCCCCCACACACAGACTGATGATAAAACATAAGACGGCTTAACGTCTGACAAATGGTGACATGAATGTAGGCAAACAGGCTGGAATAGGCGCAGTGTGTTTGTGTTGAGCTTATGTTGCCTTCTATCTCCGCCGTGCATGCAGGAAGAGAGTGTCAGTGGAGACGATAAGGTCTGATTGCACACAGAGAGGAGGAGGAGGAGGTCCGGTGCTTGTGTGGCAGCTGTTGAGTTGCTCCAAACTTTGCAAACCAAGTTGCTGAATTCCACACAAATGTCTTTCTGCTTATTTAGCGTGATTGCAAGATGCAATGAGAAGCCAGGAGATGCAGGAATGAGGCCGACGGGAGGAAGAAGGAGAGAGAGAGACCCTGTGTAGAGAGAGAGCGAGAGAGAGAGAGAGAGAGAGAGAGAGAGAGAGAGAGAGAGAGCAGTGTGGGAGGGAGGGAGGGAGGAAGTCCTGCACTTCAGGACTTCTCATGAAGCGTGTCAGACATTACTTATGAGAGGAGGCAGAGGACCCTCGCCGCCACCACCAGTGAGGAACGAGGCGACCAGGAGGGGAAGAAGGGTTTTATTTTTTTATATGCAAGCGGGGTGACAAGAGAGAGACCCTCCTGTCTGTGGGTCGGCCGCTGAGAGAACATGAAGAACCAAATCACCAATGCCCTCTCTGACTTCTTCTTCGAGTACGAGACCCCGCGCCAGGTGCTGGTGAGGAACAGGAGGGTGGGAGTGGTGTGTCGGCTCATCCAGCTGGGGGTCCTGGCTTACATCATTGGGTAAGACCCACATGTTCTTTTTTAAATCGCCCAGAGGTGTGAGAGGCAGGTTTGAGAGTCTGCATTGTTGTGCATGTTTCAGCTTGTTTGGAACGACCTTTTCAGAGTGACCCTGCAAGTTTTTTGTGTCTGGTTTGGGCTGGTTCTTAATTTTTGAGCAACGAGGATGAAATTGCTGAAACGAAACAAAAGGAGGATTATAATCCGGCCATCATAGGTCACACACACACATACTGTAACTTGCCAGGTCCTGTTGACACAGCAAACAGGAAAATGAAGTGATAGCAGGAGGGACGAGGTCATCAGTGTTTGTTCAAGTTGAGACAAAAAACACCAGCATGCTTGTTGCCTTACGAAGTCAATCACTACCTGCACACACCTGCTTTGACATGCTGGAAGACTTTCACTGGAAATTCACTGTAAAGCCTGTTTTTTTTTCTCTCTCTCTCTCTATCTTCATCATCTCACGCCACTTGACAGCTAAGCATCTCGGTTTCTGCGAAGCTGGAATTCGTCATGAGTAGGGGTGTTTACGCAAGTGTGTGAGTGTGATTTCTCTTCCTGCCCCTCCGAGCGGCAGAACCTGAGGAGCTGCATGTGATGAACGCGCTGAGGCACATGCTAGCACAGATAACAATCAACTGCTGGCCAATCCCCTGCCAAACGGCTCAGGGATGGTGTTACCTTCTGCTGGGTGCCGACCAAAAACGAAAGAGAGACGGACACGTTTAGGGAGCTGATCTGGAGATGCTGGTGTTGGAGCTCATCAGTCTCCACGATTTGAAAAAGTTATCTTTAAGTTCTGAAGGTGGTTTTAGTTTCTGCTGTGCAAACAAACAAGATTCACAGCATCCAGGTTCTTCACGCATGACATGATCTCTCCTCTGCCTCCTTGAATTCGTCACCTGGCTCTTTGCAGCCATCAGGCCACGTTAAGGCCGGGCGCTGACGTGCATGAGAGGAGATGTGATTATGAAGCTGTCCAGATTCTTCCTCCTCAGGACCGAGGCAGGAGGCAGACAGGTCGGAGCACAAGTCAGCCCGTGTCTCCCTGACGCTCGGCGGTGAAGCAGCCAACCGGCCGTCTTGTCAGGAGCGTTCACTTTCATGCTCGTTTTGACCTCAGATTGGCCACACAGCATGTGATTTCAAGCAGCAAGACAATGTTGCTCTGGGCCACTGTTTTGCGGTTAGATTTCATTATCTCAGCTTTATCCTCATAAGAAAAATGAGGCGCCCTCGGGCAGCCGCTCCTCAGTGCTTTACATAAACCTCTCACGAATAAATCCCACATGAAAGGTTCTGGAAATATAAAGCATCAATCATTAAAGTCCACAAACAAGGACTAATTAATCGAGAACAGCAGCTTCAGCAAACAATAATGACTTTTTTTTTTCTTTTAATTATCTCATTCTTTGTCACCTTGAAGTTGACAACAATGTCGATCCACTGTTTGCTTTCTTAGCTTCGCTCCGAGGTTGATTGTTTCTTCTTTTTTTTTATTTTTAATTTCTCACGAACGAAGACTAATCTCAGCCCCACAGTGTGCTGGAAGAAAAAAGCCTCGTGCACATCAAGAAGCCTCGTCGCTGCCTCGCCGCTCTCCTTCTGTCGCAGCAGATACAGATCTCACTTAGACTGCTGTTTTGGAAGATCCTTCCATTATTTCCACGCTCATCGGTTTCCTTATTCCATTAATGCGCTCTATTTTTTTTTCTTCATTTCCACATCAATGTAAGCCCGAACTTATATAATTTGATTTGCCTCGACAGTGGGGAACGTGGCTTTTGTGCACACCTTATTTCACTCTGCAGTTCGAAAGATGTGTCATCGGTCTGTTGCTGTGAGGGGCTTTCATTGTCCACAGACAAATGAACATGTGCTGCAACGCACGCTCTCCTGTAGGCGTCCTGCCAGGCTGTAATTGCTTTTCACACCCTATATAAAATAACTCTGCATGTTCAACAGCGTGTGTGTGTGAGTGTGTGTACATACAGTATCTCGTCAGTACACACCAGCTGCTGGCCATACCTCCTGGCTAAACACACACACACAATTTGTGCAACACAATGAGAAGCGTCGCGCTGCAGAAAAGTGCTGCACCCCGAGTGCGAAGCTTTTTGGCCATATGGGAATCCTTTCATGTGACAAAGGACTCAGGCTTCACTTTGTCAACTTAATAAAACTGCATTTTTCATCAGGACGAACCTGGAATATTTATCAGTTGGTGTATTTAGTGAAGCAGAAGTTGTGCTCTGGATTTCTGTATATTATCATAAATGGTGGAAGAAGCACTGAGTTCCTTTACAAAAAAACCCAGTTAATATGCAAATATACAACCACTGGTCGCTTTGCTAAGAACACCTGAACAATGTGATGCTATCCAAATAACAGCTCTGCTATAAATTCGGCTTTTTTCAGTTGTCAAAAAGATGTTAAAGACATTTTTTATGGTTATGTTTCAGCACTCATAACACATAGCTAAAGACATCCTCAGGTTAAAATCAGTTTTTTAACCTAACCAACATGTCCAAGTCATATAATTATGACAGGCATTAGTAGTCGTTGCCATGGCTGAGCATCTTAACTTTGAAACTACAGTGTGCTGATGACAGATTTAGACTTTTAACAAACCCCAAGAACCATCAGCTATGTTTAGGCCATGTTAAGGCAGGAAAAATCTCTTAAATATGCAACATTTTTACACAGAATTGAGTTTTTAGTGGTTTAATCAAAAACCAGAAAGAGACTTTAACTCTACTTTATGTTTTTTTATTGAGGTCATAGTGGGTGATGGTGCACTAGACTGCAAATGAGCTCTTAGTATTCTGTCAAGACAGTTAACATACATGAAAGTAGATCAAATGTGCCCTTGTGAGTAATATATACTTTTATAAATGACATTATTAGATGTTAAAGCAGTGATGTATAAGTAACTGTATTGTACATTTTAGCTCAGTTATTTGTACTTATTAAATTACTGATTTTTTTTCTCATCTTTAAGTCTTAATTGGTCATTTAAATGAAACCATGTGGACAGTTTGGAGTGAAAACAAGTGCCCTAACTGGCAACAAGCCAAAAAGACTGGGAACCACTGGTTTAATCGTTGGCAATGGGCTGTAAAAATCCTAATCTGAACCCGATCTAGTGACTGTAACTGTCAAATAAATGTAGTGGAATCAACTGTACAATATTTATAAGTAGCACAAACGGACACACTCTATAAGAGACTTACTTAAGGGAATGAATTTCCACAACAGATTATCACAAAATCCTTCTGGCTGGCATTTTAATATGACATTCAGATTCTTCAAAAACACTGTCTGCGCTATCAGCTTGGAAACTTTCATTACGGTTCCCAGGCAGCAATCAGCGCTGTACCCCCCGACTGATCACCACTGTGATAAAGCATATGATTTACTCTCTACTTGAGCTGCTTTCACTTTCTTAACAGTTTTGCTGCAGCCTCCTCTCATGACTCTAACGTATTCTGAAGCTGCTAAATGTCGGCGCTCTGAGATTCAATATGTCAGATGTGTCCGAACGGCGGTGAAAAAGGACAAGCAGAACCGTGGTGACATCGCACGGCCACACAATCGCTTGTGTCCCTGCTGGGCTTGCTGCTGGACGTGTAGAATGTCATGTCAGCATCACCCATATGCATGCCCTTGCCCGTGGGGATCGGATGTTTGAGTGGGAGTCTGAGGTGCTGACAGGACTGACAGGCCGCTTTCTGTGTCTTGCGCAGGTGGGTTTTCATCTACGAGAAAGGCTACCAGTCCACGGACACGGCAGTCAGCTCCGTCTTCACTAAAATGAAAGGCGTGGGCTACACCAACGTGAGCGGAAGCGAGAGAGTCTGGGATGTGGCCGACTACGTCTTCCCTCCTCAGGTCAGTGGCTGGTTGGCTGAAGCCTTTCTGAACATCCGAAATATGTGCTCTCCTCATGGGCCGAGAATTAACTTTGCATATGATACGAGTCAAAGACCGCCGGATTGTATAGTGAATCTGGGTCAGAGTCAGGTGTCACGAAGTCGACATTGACAGTCTATGAATCAAACTGTCAAAGAGAATAAACGTCAGGCTGAGTCAGACGAGAAACGTCAAAACTCTTCGCTCCCCGAAGAAAAATAGTCACCGGTCAGATCATGACAAAGTTTGAAACATCATAAAAACCTGCGTGCTGGATGGATTTTTATGCCAGATCCAATCAATGACAAGGAAGTAGAGACACGCTGACAGCTACCGAGGGTTCATGAAGTTGACTCTGAGGGTAATCTGGTTTTGTCAACATGGAGGTGTCTCCGTACTTTCCAAAAGTCCTTGCGTGCAAGAGCTAAGCAAACAGCCGACCAAAAGGGACACTTGGTTCAAATACGCTTCTTTGTTTGCCTAAAATGCTGCCGAGTCCTGCTATCTGTGGGAAAGGCACAGAGAAGACACAATGATGATTGTCCTGTTTGCTTTGAGGCGTGGGTGTGTCCTTCTCTTTCGATTCACAGTGGGCTCAGCACATGGTTTAGAGTCGTAAACCCGACCATTGACATTAAAAGGATACTTTTCTTTATCACGTACTTTGATCGAGAAGGTATCTGCTTTATTCTGGAATCCACCTCTTTGTGAGATTATTCCCTGGGTTCATCACTTTAATGCATCTGAAGAGAGGTTTCACGCAGGTCACACCTAACGTCACGATGGACCTGAGGCTCAGCGGTTGGTAGCTTGTTTTTAAGCCAACAATGCCATCTTACATCAAGAAAATGCCCTTGGACGAAAACAAAAGCAGTGATTATATGAATAGTTTGTTAAAGAAAAATTGGACATTTTAGAAAATATGCTCATTTGCTTTTTTTAATTGGGCTAAATGAGAAGTTGTTCTCTCAATGTGAAACTACAGCAAACATCAAGCAGCTGGTCGGCGCAGCTTAAAGACTGGAAACAAGGTAGAACGAATATCTTGGCACTGATCAAAGATAACAAAATCCACCTCCGACTGTGTGTTCAGACACAACGCAAATCTAAGGTGTTGCGTCATTGCATAGAGCCAATGAAAATGCATACTGACGTCAATTAAACTCTTGCATAACTGCACACCGCCACAGCTGCAAGTCCTCCAGTCTGAACAATCATATCAATCATATAGGTCCCTTTAACTATGAATATGACCTATAGGAGCATCATACTGCTGTTTGGTTAGGTTTAGGCCAAAACTACTTGGTTGATTTTGGGGAAAGATCAGGGTTTGTGTTAAAATTTTAATTTCAAGTCCATTCAGTTGTGTTTAATTTGTTATTAGCGGCAATTCTCAACACAAGTCATCTTAGTGCACTTTGTATTGTAAGATGAAGATCAGGAAATGTTATATTATAGAAGGAAGCCTAACAAATCCTTTGAGCAAACAGTGACAGTGGGAAGAAAGAAAAAACTAATTCTAACAGGAAAAAACCTCCAGCAGGACCAGGTTCAGGGAGGTCAGCCATCCGCCTTAACATGTTGGGGGGGTGAGGGGGAGGGCAGTCTTTGTTGTGATGCTTACAATAATAAACAGGCAGGTAAAAAAGTTGGAACAGTCATGATTAAAAGTGACAGTCTGACACACTAAATGAACTGCGGTATCCTGTGTTAAAATTCTGTGGTTTGTCCACCCGCCCCTCCACCCTGACCTCCTCCCCATGTGAATGCTGTGGCTCTGTAACTACTTCCCACTTTGCTCCAGCTCCTGTTACAGTGAAATGAGAAGTCAGTCTCACCACAGACATGAAACTGATTCCATGGCAGGAGCTGTTGCACAAATTATTTTGTCATTATTGTGTCTGAATTAACCCAATGGATCCTACACCCCAATGGGGGGGACTTTTTAGGGGGCTGATCCTGTAAACATTTGTGCCACCTCACACCTGCCCACAACTTCTGCAGTGGAAAGACACCTGGGGTCAATATGTTGTTAGCTAGCTCTTATATCTGTAGAGTTGGTACATGAGATGTTTGAGGCGAATCAACACGGTCGTTGACTTTCTGCTAATGGTGCAAGGGTAGGCAGATTTAACTAATTTTGGACTGGCCTGGGCTAGATGTTCCTCCAACTCTCCAGTCTTTATGCTAAGCTAAGCTAGCTGTGCCCTGGTTTTAGGTAATACAAGCATGAGAGTGCTTTTTCCACAGCAGGAACTTGGGGGAAGCACAAGGTGGCGTGAATGAGGCCCAGTGATCGACCCTTTTCAGCCTCGGGTCTGACCATTTCAACCAGTTAGCTCAGAAGTAAGTTAAATCATAAGTACAGGACGAAACTCCACTTCTGTGAGTATGTAGGAAATAGAATGAAGGAGGGTTCGTTATGTTAGCAGATATGACTTATTTTATGTGTTGATGGCAAAGTTTAAGATGAGATCAAGGACGTTGAGAGGACGGAAAAACCTTGAGTTCAATCAGTTTGCATCAAGCTCTACACGGCGGTTTTTAAAGGCCACTCAGAAGCACCGACCCTGGAGCAGGTACTCTGCTGCTCCCCCAAAAGATGCTCAACTGGAGTGGCTCCCGCAGCGGGGAACAACTGAGCCTCCTTTTCCGTGACAAGTCTTTCAAAAAAAAAAAAGTTTAGCTCTGTCCTTTAGCTAAAAAAACTGATCAAGAATGAAACAACATGGGACTTTCTGGGAAATTAAAGTTTCTATTTAGGGCTGTTTGCCGTATCAGCAGGCTCACCAGCGGGGCTACAGCTGAGTAACGTCTGACAGTCTGCCTACAGTTAGGCCGAGCAGTTGCGTAACAGCTGCTGCATCATTTATTGTGTGATTTTATAGAGCAAATACATGCGAGTGAAAGACTGTAACACACTCCTTCTTCTAATCTAAAACTTCAGGGAGACTCCTCTTTTGTAGTGATGACCAACTACATCATAACAGAGGGTCAGAAGATGGGAACGTGTCCAGAGGTATGTGAACACGGCTCTGTTTGGGTTCCCTTTCCCTCAGTTTCTCTCTGTTTTCTCCTTCTCCCTCTGACTTATACACTGCCATAAATAGTCAAACGAAACGGAAATTGCGTCTCATTCCAAGGCTGTTTGTGTAATTGGGTAATTGTGTAGCTGTTGCACGGCAGAAAACGTTTTCTTCTTAAGGCCGCTGTGACAGAAACATCGCTGCAGAATGTCACCATGAATGCAAAACCTGTTGCTTTGCTCACGTTGTTTTCCTCATTTCTTCACATTCCACAGTCTTTGCTCCCACACTGACCCCAGTCTCTTGTTTACAACAGCTCAAAGGCAAGCACAACTGCAAGTCAAACGCCGACTGTGAAGGAGGGAGTTTCAAACGTACGGGACATGGTAAATGATGACGGCCTGACAGTGTGCGACCTCAGCTGTCCTCACTGAGTGACCGTCTGTGCCCCAACTCAGATCGGTCCAGATCTTTGGCTTCTTGTTATCTCGCTCTGGTTTGCCAAATGCCCTTCGTGATGCCCCGAGGGAGGCAGAAGGACCACAACAGGTTGTGTATTTGCAAAATGGGCCGCGGCTCTGGAGAGGCGTTATAATTTCGCCCTCACGCAGTCGAATGCGAAAGGCAGCAGGTCTGACTCACCACGGCTAAGGTAAACATTTAGATGTATCTTGCGGACTGCTCTCATCCAGCGCCGTGTGAAAAATGGATTCGGATCAACAGCCTAAGTCTTAGCAACCAAACATTTGGTGAGCGTGTTTGTATCATGGCTTATTAGTCACTGAAGCAAGCAGGGAAACCTCGCCTTGAGCAAGCAGTCACATGTATGTATGTATGTATAAGCACAGATGTTGCTATAACTCTCATGCATGTGAGCCGACATAGAAACAGAGGCATTAAAAACAAACGACAGTCAAGACACGAGCTTCTTTTAATAGGTCCAAAAATTATACAGTGGCGAGTTCAAAGAGCAGTTACATAAATTTATAGTCGTCCATCTGTCCCAGGGTTAAACTCTGAGCCTTTCAAGTCCTCTGCGCCCCACATCGACTCCGATAAGACCAGCGCTAGTCAGAGCTTTACATCTGTCTGTTCCACACCAGTTAAATCCACCTTGAGGTGCCGGCGTCCCTACAGAGGCGACGTTCTGTCTCTGCACTTGTGGACAAGTAAACATGTGGAGGGCGTCCCTGCAGCCAGACGCACTGGTGGGCTCTCCAGCAGGAGGTCAGAGACTGAAGCCGAGCGGCCAAACGCCTGCTGGAGCTGTCGGTGAACTCATCCGGCACTCGATGAGAGCGGCTGATAGAGGCAGAGCTAATCACATGCAGAGAAATGATACGTTAGGATCAGGGCGAGATAAAGGAAACAGCTATTTCAGATTCTGCTTTGCTTCACTTTTATATCTTGCTTACTGCCGTTGATGCTAATTCGAGATAAGAGAAGTGGAGGCAGAGAAATTGCGTCAATGTTAACGCTTACGTCCTCCCTCTTGTCCTGTTTTTCACTGCTGCTCCAAATACAGTCTTTCTTTGCTTTGAAGTTGTGTCTCTAAAGACGAACTGTTGCACGTTTCTGTTTCAAGGACAAATGACCGGAGTCTGTGTGGAATCCACTAAGACCTGTGAGGTGTTGGCCTGGTGTCCGGTCGAGGATGATCACGACATCCCAGAGTACGTGGACGCGCCGAAGTATTCATTCTGCGATCTGAAGCCGACTTGTGATGATTGAATTGGGTTTTTTTTGGATCGCATGATAGTCCGTCCATGACGAATACCATGCAGCAACATATGGCCACAACATCTGATTCTCTTCTCTCCTCTGTTCCAGTCCTCCTCTGCTGATGTCTGCAGAGAACTACACGCTGTTCATCAAAAATTCTGTAACTTTCCCCTTATTTGGCGTCACAAGGTGATGATGGACCGCATTCATGTCGCATTAAATATACACCTGCAGATACTACAACTGAAAATAAAACATATATAAATAATCTAGACTAATCTAAACAAAACTTCTCAAAAATTTTTAAAGGGACTCTATTAATCGTCTTCAGGAACGTCAATTTATCCTGAAAATGTCATCAAAGGTTGAGTTAGATTTCCAATGTTTGACTGAAAAACTTGGTGTTTTCTTGATTTCTGTGGGAAGTTTTAAAGATGAGGACAGCGATAATCTCAGAATATTTTCCTGATGTGCAATGTGGGAATGCAGGAGCCCGGATTTTTAAAATTGGAGCCATATTAAAATTCTTGATTTCTGCTGCAAAGATTTTTACTTAAAAAAATATAAAAATCTTACAAGTCTGCCTTTATAAAACAACAACAACAAAAGACTGTGATACCAAGTTTTTAAAAGAGAATTCTGGTTTATTTAAACCTGGTATTTACCTTTAATGTGGCGACTGCGGCCATGCTAACTCTTCATCTTGTAGAGACTCAGGGAAACAGAGTTTCAGGTTTTTTTTTTGCATGAATCATTTCAAAAGTTTGCTTTCAGTCTGACCAGAGGCAAAGAAATTAGTCACCTGGAACAGATATTTTTCTAACTATATTAGCTGTATTATCGACTGTATAGAGAGTTTAACATTCAGTCTGGCTGCTCTTGGTTGACCTTGGAGAAGTTAAAGAACGTGTCTAGGACGACAAGTCTGTCATCAACACATCCCACTCTGAGCTGCAGCAGTTTTCCTCCTCATTCAACAGCAGAGCAGCGAACACAGGATCACTTCCTGCCATCTTTCCGCCTCCATCTCCACAGCGAAAGTCAGCCTCACACATGGAAACAAATTGCCATCTGCAGATGAATATGGTTGTGATTATGTCAACCGGCAAGTGTTACCAGATGCAGATCACTAATGCAGTTAACAAAATGTCTGTTGTTCCAGGAAGACAATTTCTGTGTTTCCTTTTAGTCAGACTGAAAGTGAAAAATTGCTTCTTTTTTTTTTTTAGTAAGCTGCAGGAAGTTCGAGCTAAATTGCGCCACTGAACACTGTTCACAGGCTGTTTCGTTTGATCCTTCGTTTCCCTGAGTCTCTCCATAAGAGGTGAAGAGTGCAAAGTGTGCACGACTCATGGAGCAGCTGCATTAAGAGGAAATACACGAGGTTGAAATAAACTTCAATTTTCATTCACGTTTTCCCAAATGAGGGGTTTAAACTGATGTTATTCCTAAAAACAATGAAGCACACATGCACACACACAACAACCTGTGGGCTCCTGTCACTCACAAACATTTAAACCCACCTCATAAATGCAAAAGATGAAGGATAAAGGAGAAATACTTTTAGAGGCCTGTAACTACAGTTAATCCCAGAATCCTCGGTGCCTTACATGCCAGTAAACACACATACTATCTGTTACTATGTGATCCTGGACTGTGTTTTCTGACGTGTTTTCAGGAGCAACCTGGTGGAGGGCATCGATGCCGACTACATCGGCAAATGCCTTCACGATCCAAAGAAGGCTCCACTGTGTCCCATATTCAGACTGGGAGACATAGTCAAGCTGTCCGGCTTCAGCTTTGAAACAATAGCCAAAGTGGTGAGTGTGCAGCGTCGCGTCCTCGCTGTGGGTGAGAACAGTCCACGAGTGAATAAGCAGATTCTGTTTAACCTCACGTTGTTTTTGTATTGTTGTCTTTTGTCAGGGAGGGGCCATTGGTATCGTAGTTGACTGGACATGCAACCTGGACGTGGATGTGAAACACTGCAAACCACAGTACAACTTCCACGGTCTCTATGGAAACCCTGACGAGACGGACAAAGCCAGAGCGTCCGTGGGCTACAACTTCAGGTGTGTGAACAGGCTGCACTGGAGGACTCACTGCCATCATTACATGCAGATTTTTTCTTTTAGCTTTCACATCAAGGAAAAAAAATACTAGATATTATTATGTTTGTACATATCTGTCACCGCCTGCAGTACTGTTTTTATTTTTTTTTGGTTTTGTTTTGTAATTGTGTAGGCAAACGATATTGGTTTGCAGAACTTTGCTCTGTCTTCATAATATTATTACTTCCGCATTTACAAATTTGCAAGAAGCTTGATTACCAAACTGCAGTTCCACTTGTTCTGGTGATGCATTAATTATCATATCATTGCATTGATATTAACATATGAGTCATTTAAACAAGAGTAATGGGTGCAGAGATGGACTGTTGTTTAATCCACTCATGAACTTTCACTGCAGCAATGTGTTGATGCATCACCAGAACAAGCGGAACTAGAGTTTGGTAATCAAGCTTCCTTCATGCTGAAGTAATAGAGTAAACTTCTGCAAACCGATATCGTTTGCCTACACAATTACAACACAATAAAAGCTGTACTGCAGGAATTTTATGGTGAGAGTTATGGACAAATGTAATTTTATTTCGTTGATATGAGAGCTACAAGAAAAAAATCTGCAACATTAAATGATGGAAGCTCAGTAAGTCTAGACTGCTGAGAAAAAAAATAATTCCAGCGCCAGTGGCGAGCCGAACCAAGATAAGGTAGTGAAACGACACTGAAAATAGCCCACGTAGACACCATACCTCACTGGGATGTACACGTCCGGATGTAAATGTGGCCACAAGGTGTATCTGTTGGAGTTAATTAGTGAGCCTTAGAGGAACCTGTAGATGGATTTCGTTACCTCTGGGGGGCTGGTTTACACTCTTCATGCAAAGCTCATCTCTAAGCAAGACAAAATATGTCACTGTCTTCTCATCTGACATAATGATATCCCATATTTTCTCTATTCCTAGTAAAACAAACAAAAACAGAATCCACATTCCTTGCCCGATGAACACAAGCAGCTGACGGGTATTCCTGTTTCCATGTTGATATACTGTCACTAAACCCAGTATTTACTGCTGCTAATTTCCACGGGCTGGACTGGACTCGCTGTTTGCTCCTGATATTGCTCGGCCTCGGGCCCGTTGAGCTCGCAGACCGCCTGAAGTTATGATGTTTGCTTGCTCTCAGTAAAACGGCTCAATGTGGCGCCCTGAGATTTGTCTCCTACTGCTGTTTCATGCTGTTGACTGCTCTGCTCCAGTCTGCTCTCCCAGTTCACTCTCAGCTGTAGCTGTTATTTAACCAGCGCTAATTGGCTTTAGGGGGGCGCTGATTATACAGTCACTGTATGGGTAGCCGTCCATAGTAATAATAAATTAGAACAATTATTCTCTAATAAGAAAAGGGAATGAAACCTTTCATTTATTTTGTATTTAGAAGAAGAGAAGCACGAGGAGATAATAAATTGGTCAAAATTTACCAAATGCTTCGACAAACACAAGCCGGTGACAAATTAAAGGAAAAACCAACATAAAGCAGTTTAGTAGGGTGCAGACAAAACAGCTCTAAGTGCTCCTTATCAGGTGTCTGAACTCCACTGGAGGGACGAACACCATCTTTACAATTCCTTAATTTTGTTATGAACAAAACACAGATGGCCGATGGGCTTTTCTGATTATGTGAAAAAACATGAAAGAAGCACTTTTATTTTCAAAAACCGCTGCAGCGTTACTCAAAGATGCAACGATACGGATACGCACAGATAAACGGCTGCATGAAAATCGACAAGAATGCAAGAAATGAAGTGTTTGGTGCTAAAATGTCCTACTTAATGTCTGTGAAGATTCTCAGCCATCCAGGTCATTGTGATTGTTCTGGTAGATTAACAGTAGCAACTGGACTTACTTGAGATCAGAGAAGACGTTCCACCTCTCATCCAAGAGGCTTCATCAGCTCTGACTGACTAGTTGGGAGTTCCAGATATCCTTAAGGAGCCATTAGCAGGTGCTGAGTTTTGGTTTCAATTGGAGGTTGTTACTCACATAACGAGGGGGAGGAGCAACAAACCCCCGATTAAAACTCAGGTGTTAATGGCTCCTTAAGGATAGAAGTATCTGGAACTCCCAACTAGTCAGTCAGAGCTGATGAAGCCTCTTGGATGAAACGTCTTCAAGGAACTCAAGCTATGATTAATCTACCAGAAAAAAGTCCTACTTCATGTGTCCCTCCACTGTTCAAACACAACCATCACCTGTTGATAAAGATCAGATGGAGTCACACTGAAGTGGACCTAAACCAAGGGTGGGCAATCCTGGTCCTCGAGGTCCACAATCCTGCATAGATGTTTCCTTCTTCCAACACAGGATCAGGATCGTTATCAGGCTTCTGCAGAGCTTGATGATGATCCCGATCATTTGAATCAGGTGTGTTGGAAGAAGGGAAACATCTAAAACATGCGGGATTGTGGCCCTCGAGGACCAGGATTGCCCACCCCTGACCTAAACCCTGCCCCCCTACAGAATAACAGAGCCACCAGATCCCTTCACTGTCAAGGGTTCAGGCTCACGTTCCTTTATGTTCCACCTAACATACTGTGATAACTCCTCTTGCTGCTTGCAGGTACGCAAAGCATTACATGGAGAACGGAACTCAGAAAAGAACCCTTCTCAAAGTGTTTGGCATCAGGTTTGATATCATCGTGCAATCGCTGGTACGTAACACGTCTCATAAGTTGTATTTATGCGGATTCCTCACTTGAGAGATAATCACAGGGAGTTTTGTGTCACTGTGTCCCTCACAGGCGCGGAAATTTGACATCATCCCAACACTGACGGCAATAGGCTCCGGAGTGGGAATCTTTGGAGTGGTACGTCGTCGTCGGAGTTAAATAAGTCTACGGAACAATCACACATAACTAATCTGATTCTGTTTGTTTTCCTCTTCCAGGCCACCGTAGTGTGTGACTTGGTGCTGCTCTATTTGCTACCAAAAAGAGAATTTTACAAGAACATGAAATTCAAATACACAGACACACACGCGCAGGTAAGCTCGTTCAGTCTACTCACTGAAAATATATTGTTCAGTTTGCACACAAGATGGCAGCAGAGAGGCACGCAGCAGTCCACACAGACACAACAGGCAGCACTCAGAGGTGTAATTCTTTCCCTGAACACCTGTTAAATGTGTTTCAATACCACACACTAGCTAGAAACCCCAGCAGCACACAGTAGCCACCAGATTATTGCTGTGTTGACCTCAGAGCCCTACAAGCTCAGCACAGTGCAGCCGGTAAATCTGATAAAAGATGAAATCTGCGCCTATCCCACCCAGACAGCTTCCCTCTTTAACTGAACCAGGCAGGACGTTTTGTATTTACAGCAGGACAGCGAGTCGCTCGGTTTAGACACAAGCGTCTATTACACCCTCGAAGCAAATGCAAGACAAGCCCAAGGCACTGCCCAGTCCAACGTGAGTGCATGACGAAGTGTGGACAAGAGTGCAGATTCTTCTTCATTTTTTTTTTATTCTTTCTGTCATGTCATGATGAGGAGAGTTGTGCTGCTCATTATCTCGGAGGTCTAAATGGCTGCTATCCTGTGGCTCTGACTTCTCTCCCACAGGATCCCGATTCAGAGGCAGGTAGCACAGAGACTGAGGTATCTAAAGTAAGCTACTCATCTGTTGTTGTGGAGCACTGGAGCCTATGGGCTGCCATTTGTTGTCATGCCTGATGTGTTTGTTTATCTGTTCCCGTGCAGAAGTGACCTGGGAGCAAACAAGCCAGTGCTGCTTTGGAAGGTGTTCTGCGCTGGAACTCTGCAAGAAAACGCACACACACACTCTAAATGGACTCCTGAGACGGGAAAAGGACATAAATGACATTGTGTTTGTGTCTGATCTCCAGCAGCATCGTCTGCCAACAACATCCTCCCACTCTTAAAGTCGTCCTGAGCGACTGTGACTCTGTGTAGAGCCACAGACAGCCCAGTGAGCTGTATGTCTACTTCTTCTTTTTTTTTTTTTTGTTGGGTGTAGCTCGGTTTGCTTTTGTTCATACTTTTTGGGTGTAACCTCCACCTCTTTAACCGTCTATCGGGTGAAAGAAGAATTTCTGGCACTTCTTCGGTGCTGCTGTGTGTGTGTGTGTGCATGGATCGTCCGTTTATCTCACTATCTCACACCTGAAACGTGGACGGATGTGAGTGATTCATCCCTCCGTGTGCACCTTGTGATCAACAGTGGAACTCGATGAAATAAAAACTTGTACAGCAACGTTTGTGGATTTCCATTTTTGCATTCAAAACGATTCTGGCTGATTAAACCTCGACTCAGGATGCAGATTCAATCCACGCGTCCCTTCTATTCCCTGCAGGCACACCTCATAGTAAAGCTGGTGAGGAAGAACAATCTGTCACGGCATGAGAGAAAAGGTTTCATCATCAATAGACCACTTCTTCACATTTCCCTTCAACAATTTAATCTTTGTTCATTCATGACCAAACTGTTTTTTCTCCAGTTTAGCTGCAGGAAGTTTTAGCAAAACTAGTACCTTAGTAACTGATCCCTTTGTTTTAAATCTACAAATAAATGACTGTTTACTAAGCCAGACAAATATAAAGCATCTTCACTGGGATGAAATTTATGCTGCTTACTCTAAAAAGAATCACCACTTTCCATTCTGCTTTGAAAAACGGGGACAAGGTCTTTTGCTGTTTTCTGTTGGGAAGAATATTCGCTCTCGGGCCAAAGCTGAAATACTGAAGACTGTTGTGCTGTAATGCTGTTGGTGAACAAATCTCTACACAGCTTAATCCTCACTAAGGTCATGGGGGGGCTGGAGTCTATCCCAGCTGACTCAGGGCGAAGGCAGGTTCACCTGGACAGGTAACCAGTCTATCACAGGGCTACACTTAGAGACAGACAACCAAGCACACTCACATTCAAACCTACGGACAATTTAGAATCACCAATTAACCTCGGCATGTTCTTGGACCTTGTGGGAGGAAGCCGGAGAACCCGGAGAGAACCCACGCTGCACGGGGAGAACATGGAGACTCCACGCAGAAAGATTCCGGTGCCCCCACCGGGACCCGAACCGGCGACCTTCTTGCTGCGAGGCAACAGTGCTACCAACTGCTGCAGCCCCATAAAACTGAAGAGAGAAAAAAACCCCCAAAAGAATCCATGGTTTTTTTTGTTTGTTTTATTGTCATTGATTATGTTTAGGTGTACAAAAAGCATGCAAAAAATAGCTCATTATATATATATATTGGTACATATTTACATGGTAACAACTGCATTCCATAGGGATGTGCCATGCTTTCTGTTTTAGCGGCTGGACACGGGCGCGCGACTACATTCAGAGAAATCCACGAGACGACACGAGACGCAAACACGGAGACGGCAGGCACCTTCGACGCAGCACACGCCAGGACGGTCACGTGACAGCACTGATCCCTCACTTCATACTATGTACACGCTCTCCCTCAGCCCTCCTCCTCTGGATATTACTAAGACCTGAAATCATGATAACATCGGCCCGGCCCATCACTCCCTGTGGAAACTGCACCTATCGATTTCCCTCCTGTGTTTCTCTGCAGCAGCAACATGAAGCCGGGGGGAGAGCGAACCTCTATCTGCACAGTTCAGTACACTTAAACCTTTACTGTGCATGGAGGGGATCATAGATTTGCCACTTAGCACTGGGATGTATGAAGGATGCTGCATTTACAGGTGGCCACAGAGCTATGAATTTATTGTGTGCTGTAGAACCGCCTGAACGTTCAGGGATTACAGGTACAAAACAAAAGAAGACATTTAGTAAAAATTGGCAAAAATTTAAAGGGAAAATCTCTGTAGGCAGAAAGAGATGCGGCCTGTGTGGACTAACTGGACTAAGGATCAGGAAAAGAGCTGTTCCTTGTATGCCTTAATACAGGAATTATACTGTAAACGGTAATCGGGTGTCTGCTGAGTGTTGGACAGGAAGCAAATAAAGTATAAAGCAGCTGCTCTATATCTAACGGATTATTTTTTTAATGGCAGCTAGTGATCATCCAAACACAAGGTTGTCTCTTCTATCTTATCCTGCACTCAAAAAATGGGTTTTTTACAGTGTTGTAGCATCTTTTCAGCAGTAAAATCTA